AAAAGATTATAAAATCGTAGTATATTATGAAATGAGCGATTATAAATAAAGTGGTGTTATAAGAATAATTTTTTTATTTTATTTTTTTATATAATTTTTACGTGTTATTAAATGGGGAGATACATTTAATATCACGGATCCCATATAAATTAAAAAAATCAATTATTTTACTAACACATCAAGTTGTATAAAAAATAAGATAAAATTGTTATCTCAATAATAATTCCCTTATAAATAATATTATAATTAAATCTAAATAAAATCAAAATATAATATTATATGATATTATATCTTTTTTATTAATATTATAATTATATTATTTTCGTTTAAAAAGTATATACTAAATAGTTTTAAGATTTGGATGAATACTAATGACAGCTAAATATTTTTCTCTAAACAATGAAGAAATAATTGCGAAGTAAACCAAACATAAAGAGAGTATAGGAGATTGTTTGAGAGAATATCCTCTGGTTTTCTTCTTGGATTAATATACCATTTTATGTGATAACATTCTAGTTAAAGTTGGCAAACATTTTGAGATAACACCCTCCCAATATATATATATATATATAGAAGGGGGTTTGGAGAGGTGGTTATGACTTGACTCTTTGATACTTAAGTTAGTGTCATTTGTAAAGATAATGAAAGGGAAGAGAATACGTCTCAATTTGTAATTGAAAATTATATTTATTCATACGTTGAAGAAAGGTTTGGATATGTCATTGGGAGAATGCGACAAGGCCTTGCAGAAGTGCTCGGTCTGGTAGTTTATCATTATCTCGTGTCTATACTTTATTGGGAAACAGGATTACAAGCTATTGTTAAGATAGGTGGCACGTATTCAAATTGTCATTTATCTACAGCAATCATGTTGTTATATAATAAAGTAGGAAGGAAATGATTCAATTAGATAAAAGTTTGAAATTATAAATTAGAAATTTTATATTTAACTTTTAAGATAAAGGAAAAAGAATTTTTAAAAAATAAAGATTATACTTTTTTTGTATAATGCATTATTAGATATATAAAAAAATCATGTTATATAATAAATATATAATTAGATTTAATTAGATCAATACTTAATTAAAATGAAAAAAAAAATAAAAATCAAGATATCTTATCATTTTTAATATTATCACTACTTGTAAAATTGTTTAAATATCTATAACTTTTTTGTATGTTAATTCATTATAAATTCGTTAATCTTTTCATTATTAATCCTAATATTTTGATTATCAAAACATCTTCATCTTTCTCAATCCCAATTGAAATCTTGGTTAAATTTGGACATTATAACTGGTGGAGAGCTCAATTGAACCCAATAAAGATGAACGCATGAATTGAACCCCCTCCACAAAGTACAAGGGTTGATTCGGTCTTTGTTCTTTTGTATGAACTGATTTACTTACTCTTTTTCGGCCAGCGCTGTAATGGTTTTGAGTCTTTTGGGTTGAGATCGAAATTAAATTGTTAGAAAAAAACTCAAAAAGAAGTCTTTTTGAATTTTTACAAAATGGTACAAAAAAATTCATAGAAGTATGTAGCGAAGAACCCTCTGATACAACTCAAAGGTTTGATGCATTGGTGAATTGATAAATAAGTTTTTGTTTTATAAATTAAGTTTAAAGTTTAAGTTTTAAAATTTGTATTCAAAGATATGAAAGGTTTATCTTGAACCCCGAAAGGAACATGGTAATAGTTAAGAACTTGAGATTTAATTTTAAAATCTTAAGTTTCAATCTTGGATCGGATAAAAAGAAATTTAAGAAAATGACAAGAATATTTTTTTTTTATATAACACATTTAGAAACTAACTTAAAAACACATTAATTGTCGAAATAAGAAATAAAAAACCCTTTGATCCAAAACTCAATAAAATACCACTTAAAATGTGGTTTTTTGGAAAATCCCTCCAAATTCTCATTTTCATCTAAATAAGCCATCGAACCAAAAAGAAATGGATAATTTTTCATAGGGAACTCATTTTGAGACAATTTTTTTATATTATTTTTTGAGATAATTTTTTTATATTATCTTTTTGTATAACTTGATATATTATTTAAATGGTTGGTTCTTTTTATTTATATAAAATTTATGATATTAAATATATTTACTTATTTAATAATATATAAAAATTATATTAAAAAATTATACTAATAGCACCGCTATTTTTCATAAGGGTATTGTTGGCCTGAGTCAACTCAAGACTTCAACAGCCACTAAACCCCTAAAGTTGGGCTATGAACTATTGGGTCAGAAGGTTGGGTTCGAATAATTTATTTGTACTGACTTGAATTGATTAGTTCAATTTAATTGTTTACTTATTTTAGATGTAAAAATAATGAGTACTTTCTAAATTTTTAAAAAGTATTTTGTAATTTAAATTACAAAATATTAAGTCTAAATAAAAAAATTGTTCTTTAACCATCTATAATGGTTGTCCTCATTTTTCCTATTTATCTTTTGCAAGGATTCAGCATTCATCTACAAAAAAAAAAAAAAAAAAAAAAAAAAAAAACCTAGATATTCGAAATCTGTTTCCTTCACTGATATTCAACATTAAGAAGAAAAATGAACGAGTACAAAAAGAAGTCCCTCCACCAAAAAGGAATGTTACAAGTTGCTAGACATGGTAATTCATAGAGAGGAATGGCAGCATGTGGAGAACAGGGAAACAACGCATGGCACAAAAATGTAAGGCTTGCTACAGCGTATCACTAAGATCCGTGTCAGCCATGCTCATCCAGGCACAAAATCAATATCCAACAACTTCATAATCTGAAGGAAAACCAATGCAAGCAACTATCTACTTTTCTCCGAGGCTTTTGCTGGAGGATGTGTTCCAAAGACATGGTCCCAAAAAGGAGATGTAATCCCGAATCCTTTGCTCTGAAGTTTATAGTGGTGATTCATGTGATACGTCTGCCAAATATATTTACACAGAGAAAAAGTGATCATTCAGATAAAGATCTCTACCAGGTAAAAACAGAGGTGTGTGTCTACACATGCAAGTGCATACAATCCCTTCAACTCAACTGGCAGAGAAGTGGAAAATGAAAACATGTTGAACATGTATAGGGTATTCTAAATCAGTAGTTACCTTCAGATTTTGATTGAATCCTTGAGATGGCTTCCCATGGTGCAGGTAATAATGGGTGCAATCATATAATATGTATCCCAGCAACCCACCTCCAAAGAGAGCAGGAGAGACAGATGGAGGCAATGAAAGCTTGAGCAGGGTCCACAACTAGCATTCAAAACCACAGTAAGTCAGAACCAGCTAAGAAGCACTTAGCAACACTTAGGATGCAACTTTTTCCTCTCTTTTTAATGTAAACATATGATACAAATTCCATCAGGATTTGAAAAGCAAGATCAATTTCCATTGGCTTCTGCAAGCTATAGCTTAAGCAGTGTGATGTGACTTAGAATGACTATCATGGATCAACCCACGGCAGGTTTATTGGTTTAAAATTAAGGCTTCAATTTAGAATTGTTTGAGGATATTGTACCCAGCCAACTACAGCCCAAGGGCTTTTGTTATTTTATCTTGTTTGGAAACATGTGGGATAATCAACATGTGTTAAAGGAAGGAAAAGGAATCAAAGCAATCTAAGTAAGTGAAAACAGAGTTTATTAGATAATGATTTTTGAGCTACGAAAGTCGAACATACTGGTACACAGAGAATGGCTGTTGCAGCAGGAGGGAAAACAAGCCGTAGTGCATCCATTGGGTGCTTGTGATGGCAGCCATGGAGGAGATAGTGAATAGTGTTTCCCCTGTAAAGATTTTTCAAACCCTCTTCAGCATGGTAAATTGCCTCTTAATGTAACACACATGCATATGCATACACATACAAAGATAGAGAGAAAACTAACCAATAGCTTGTTGTTTTGACATGGAAAAGAAAGCGGTGCAAAGTGTACTCAAGAAACGTCCAAAAGAAGACACCACCAATGACTATTAAGGCTACCTGATCTGGGGTAAGACCCATTTGTATAGATATGGAAACATACCAACAGACAACTGGTAACCAAACAAGTGGGATCACCCACCATTTTGTGCAGGTCAAGAGCTGTTTCAAGTACAGGAAGTAAAAATATGATCAAATATATAGGGAACAAGACACCGTGAA